TACTCCTGGGTGAAGACAGATCCCACGCCTCTGAAATTTTGGAAATCTAAATAGTGGTTTGGATGCAGCAGGCAGTTAATAAGTACTCCAAGAATAATGACAGGGTTGGATAAGAGCAAGAACACAGGCCGAGCAGTGGGAAAGGCCCAGAAAGGCAGGACTAGTTGCCATTCTCAAATTTCTGATAACTGGTTTTATAGTTGTCTCTGCTACTTAATTTCCTCAACTGAGGAATGCGGTTGTTAATGGAGGCTGCCTGGACATGTTTGTGTTTGGCCTAAAGTGTTTCCCAAAACTTTCAGTCTCACTGCTCTTGGGCAAGGGTTTTTCTATTTCCTGGTCAGAGGGAGCCCCACCACTGGACCTGGTCTTCTACCCGCTTGCTTAGGTGCCTGCTGAAGGCATTTTAATGTCTTACCTTGAAATGCTTCCATCTTTTGCCCTTTAGGAAAAGACTGGTGGAACAGGAGGGTAGAAAAAGATGGCAGGAAAGGAAAAGATGGGAGGAAAAAAACTGAACTGTGATATGGAGGAATGGAGAGGTAATGATTGGTCTACGGCATACATTCCAGATTTACCCCTAATAATAACCACCAGTTTTAATTATGCTACACTCAAAGGTTTCCAGTCAGTGAGATGGGAGATACAAGTTCAACAGACAGGTCACAACAACTCTCAGGATACTGCAGCTAGGAAGCACAGCCTGAAGCCACCCAGATAGGAAAGAAGGATCTTGACCTAATGTGCGGCAGCAACTAACTGCTTTCCTTGTAATGTAAATTCTATGATTCTTACAGAAATCTCTTGAAATCTGAGATTTCTGGAAGAGTATACTAATTGCAGTCAATTATCAAATATTTTTTAACTAAGTTACAACTCCAAGTAAATTAAGACAGTTTGGAAAAATAAAAAGGATATTTATCAGAGTTTTTCTATGAAAGAAAAAACAAAAAGAAAATGTTGAGGACTATTAATAACTTCCAAGATAACATAGGAATTATTATTATTATTTTTCTCAGGGATGTTGATGGAGAAAGATGCCTATACTAGTTATTCACATTTTGATATTAATCAACTAGTAGAGACTCAGTATCAGCATTATGCAGATAAATGTTTAATAACCAAATTTCTGGAGTTAGGGCTCTGGAAGATCTGATTTGTAACCTTTGCCAATTTCTTAGTAAAATTACACCCATGACAGCTGGTTTCAAGCTACAACAAGAGGTCACTAGAGTTACTGAAGAAAAGCCAACGATCATTCACTCACCTGCTCCAACACATCATTTTCTCCTCTCCTAACCTGGATTTTACTTTCGTAATGTTAGTGTAACATAAAATCTGGGTCACCTGGTAGTGAATGACTTCAATCATGAAGGGCATGTAGCTCTGAAGGGACCTAAGAAAGCACCACAGCCTGTGGAAATGCCCTGCAGGCAGAGGGCTTCCTCCTGCACATGATGAGCTGATGCCAGATTAACTTGGGCTCTCTAATGGCACTGGTCTTTTCAAAGGATGCCATCTCTCATCACAGCAGCTCCTGCCTGGCAGAGCTGCAGCCATAGCCACAAATCCATCAATAAATGTGGTACCCGCAGAGCAGCTTCCTGCAGTAATAGCATGGTACACAGACCAGGAACCATCCCGGCATTGAGCTCAATCAAGGGAGCAAGTCACTAGGTATATGTGATTGAAGGGACTGAACCAAACACAGAGCCAAAAAAACACTGCTCAGGCTACCAGCTAGGTTCATTGTTGGCTCTAACTCCACAGGGTGAGGTGGTGTTGCTCAGAAATATTTGTAGCATTTAATATATATGCTAACATCTGTGTTCTTTTCTGGGAGTGGGTGGCTGTTCTGGGGATTGACAGGGGATTTGCACTGAGCTGCATCCCAAGACCTTCTTAAAATGGTTTTTGAGACAGGGTCTTGCTAAGGTGCCCAGGCTAGGCTCAAATTTAAGAACCTCTTGCTTCATTCAGCTGTCCAAATTGTTAGGGTAAACAGCATGCAGTCCCTTGCCTGGCTTGTGTGTGTGTGTGTGTGTGTTTTATGTGCAACTAAGACTGACTCTTATTCATACTGCTTAATATCTGCCTTAAAATCTTTTTAGATTGAACTGGTAACAAAAATAAGCAACTACCCAACAGATACCTTGACATCACTTACTGAGAACTCCCTTAGAAGCTTTTCTTACATTGTGACATCCTAAATAGTACTCCAGTGGTTGTCACACCCAGTATGACATCTGAGTGGTCCACGGTGCTGTCTCTTCCCTTGGAAAGATTCCCACTTCAGTTCTCGCCCTTTGTGTCTTCTGTTATATGACTGAAATGCAGTTCTGAGATCCATTTGTGTGGAAAACGAAAATATGGAGATGCTGACATAGTGCTGTACCAGAACTGAGGCACACTATAAATTGCTTCCTGCCCTGAGACACTGGGAGACTGAGGAACTGAGGAGCTGCCTGTGTCAGGGGTTTGTGGATCTGTGACAAAGACCAGTGTGTCCAGATTAAGGGCTTTGGACAAGATGACAGATTTTCTTGATTTGAATTCCAGGTCTGTTTACTACTAGTATCTGTACGATTTCAGGAAAAAAAATCACATGCTTTGCTGAGCCTAAATTTCCTCACCTAGAAAATAAGGAAGACCTATTGTACGAGACAGCTGCTGAGGATCAACTGAGAAAAATCTCATGGAGCATTCAGGACAGTTTCTACAACTTACCACACACCACATGTTAGCGATTACTGTTACAAGTTAGCTATCCAGGTGAAATAAGAACGATGTTTTAGTAGCCATGTGCACTATAGTACTCCATTTCTCTGATTCTTGCTATATACAGGTATTCTGCTTTTGGAGTCAGTCAGCTCAGTGGTTCGGTTTACACTGCAAACACTGTTTAAACTGGTGTCATTCTAACTGAAGTAGGTTCGGCATTTTCATATTCTAGGAATGTCTGCTAGGGAGGGTGTTGCTTCCCCCACTGTGTGTGTTTTCTGCTTCTTGTTCCTAGGTGGAGATCAGAGGATGAGATTTGTAACTTACATGTTTGCCTTTGGAGTTTCACCTTCTCAATACATCTTTCCTGTTAATACTATAATTTTTCTTCTTCATACAAAACTTCTGTTTCTGCCCTCCACAGTAGCTAATTTTGCTTATAGAAGGATAAATTAATTCTGTAACACAACTCTAAGAGCACCCACAACCAAGCCTTCATCTATTCCTTCCAGCCTTGCACTATCCCCAGATTTGACGACGCACCCACTCACCACGTGTTTTCATTTGCTCACTGAATCTGAATAGTTTATGCCAGAAACGCTATCCATATTAGAGATAGAAAATTAAAAACAAATGTTTAGGTTTAGCTTTTACGAAGGTCACAATAAATCTAGTGCAAAAAGTGTGTAAATAACTGGTAAAAGACAGTAAAATGGCAAAACAAACCAACACCCCACAGTGGTGATGTATTCATAATTCCTCTTCAAATCCTTAGGAACAAGCAATGGCTTTTGCTGGAGAAGCTGGAAAATGTTTCATGGAAAAGGTAGAACTTTGTCCTTGGCATTGAACCCACTGGGAGAGAACAGAAAATATTTACCAGGAAAATAAAATAAAGCCCTGACTCTGAAAGTACCCGTGACATCTGGGGAAAAGCAAGTACTGGGGTAGTATCTGAAGTATATTTGTGAGGAAAAGATGGTCAAAAAGGTTGCAAGTCAACTGAAGAAGCCTGCAAATGCTGTCAGGCACTAAAGTATCTTTTTTTATTTTGTTTATCCAGCAAGTATCTAAGCAAGAGTTGCTGCCTGTGATTCCAGTATCTGCTCAGCAGGAAGACTTGTTTGACTTTGTAGATAATGAGCCCAGTGTTTAGAAAGAAGAGCAAGCATAAATGAGACACATATGGAAAAGAGAGTGGGGCCCAGAGGGGCCGAGTTTCTGACCTGCTCTTAGGCCATGACTATTGGTCCATCTCCTTCATTTCCACAAGTGACCTTTGACATCTCAGCCACATGAGCCAGTGGACCACTTTGGGGTAGCTGCCTTCAACTGGATTGGCTTTTTTTTTGGGGGGGGGGGCGGTTACTGGGAATCAAATTCAGACCTTGCAGCTAAGCTATATCCCCAGCTCACTTGGCTTTAATTTTTTTTTTTTTTGTCTTTTTCCTTTGTGAGTTGAGTTTAGTGGCTGTCATTCCCACCAGAAAGACCCCTGACTGACGCATCCACCTGTTAAAACTTTGTTTTATGTGGAGTAGAAATGGCTGCCCCACAGACAATTTAAGACCCAAAACGGTTTTAAGGGGGTGAGTGCTGGTTCAATCACACACAGGAAGACTACCCAAAGGCTGGCCCATAAGGTGGATTTCAGGGGCCCGTTTAGATAGTTCTTAGGCCTTTCAAGAGTGCAACACTTTGTAACAGCGGATTTCTGGCTCTAGACAGAGTCCAGCAAAGCAAAGCTCTCTCTGCACTTTCCTGCGCTTCTGACCCAGCCAGCTGCTAAATGTCCCACGCTCTTGTCTCTGCAGTACTGCACTGGCACCGCTGACACTGTGGCTCTCCAATGACACCAGGGCTCTCTGACCTCCACACTGCCGGGATTCCCTGGAGGGCTTCTTCAGTGAAACTGCATCAAGTTCCAGGTGATGCTGATACTGTTGGCCCCCCAGCCATGCTCTGAGAACCATGGCATTAGACATTTCATGGTAGCTGGACTCTAGTTCGTGTGCAGTAGTGGCTGTACTGAAAAGTTGCTTAAGGATTTTCTTATTTGTCTTTGTAGTAATAATGCCTTACACAACAGTGGTATTTGATACACATAACTATGTGATTAACTGGAGATTAAACATCTTATCATAACAAATCCTTCAGTTACCATTCATTCCAACAGACTATCTCAAAAAATACACTGCACAAGTAGAGAAGACCTGAAAGGCAGACTTCTCTTGGGCTTTGAATGGGCATGGGGTTGGGGTGGTACTGGGTGGTATTACCTGAGGCATCCAGTGACGTTGTAGAATATATCAAAATCAAGCAAACCATTTGCCTTGGGGTAGTCTCCTTCAGGCCACCCCGAGAAGGGGATGATGATGTTTTCAGTCAGGGTGAGCAAGGCTTCAGTTATCATGAGATTCTTGAGTTTGTCGTTAGAAGACAAATTCCACAACAATCCTAGAAAAGCAAAAAGTTACCTTGAGAACAGCACAGTGTCTCCAAGGACTGCTGGAAAGTCCAGTTAAGGTCATGAGCTCCAGGACTGTGACGAATTATGAGAAAGTGGGAAGGCAGTAAAGAGCCCCTTCCTCAACTGAAAGACCCGTTTAAAGTTCATTAGATGTCAAGAAGTTGAGCCTTAAGAACAACTAAAGATATATGTAGCCTGTGATATAAAATGAGGTAAGTTTAAATTAATCAGGGGTGTGAAGAGAAACCTTTGTTGCTGTTTCTCTGAAATGACCCTGCTACAAAGCTGTCACCACTGGGATAAGCAACTCTGTGCTTGCCAATAGGCCCAGCTAGAACTCAGACATCAGCGTTGTGAAGATTTTTACTTTTCTTCCCTCGACACATGGAAGACTCTTCCTGCATCTTGCTACTCACTACCTGTCACTTTCACCTGACAGTTTGCCTTGCGTTCATAGCAGGACAAGCCCACAGAAAGCATTCTCCCTGCCTGTCAGTGGTAGGCTGATTAATATCACCAACAATAGTCACTGGTGCCTGCCGGATGACAGCACTTAACTTCTCCTAGGAATCTGTGATGGCTGCCTTAAGTATTTCTCTCTGGATGGGCAGCAGAGTTTGGTATCTAATCTACCTGCCAACTGACGTTGTCCAAGTACTTGTCTATGGCTGGAGTCACATTTCGTCACATGACTTGCCCTTTTCTTCTCACTGCTTCACCTTAAAGGGAAGAACCAGGAAAGCCAAGCAGGAAGAACTAAGATAATAGCATGATGTTCTTTTTGGGGTATCTCTGAGATACCACAGACTCAGACTGCAGCTTGGGATTGACAGCATGGAAAGTGCCACACACATTTAGGATTTTTTCTTGCAAACTTGGTGCCCCCAAAATTTCTGACTCAGTGGAAGAAGACCTATGTGCCTACTGCTTGTTACGCCAGGACTTTTGGCAGGTGGTAATGAGGCAAACTTCATAACTCACTGGCACTCAAGACAGAGGAGAGCACAAAGGGACAGAAAGAGCAGCTTTTCTACCCCACGTTCCCATCTCCCAGCACTAAGTCCTGCTTCTTTAAATTGACTGCATGGTTTGTTCCAACAGGAGCAAGAGCACGGGTCCACAGGGAAACCTGCTCCATAAACCTCCATAAAGGTTATGGTTAAGGCAAACATGGCTGAATTTAGTGATGATTTCATCTGCTCAATTTTGCTGAGATAATTATGTAGTTAAAGCTTGGCAGTTTTTGAACCATACTTGTGTTTGGTCCAGCAATCAGAGCACTCAGAGCCTAATGTAGTCTTCTAGGCTTAAATGGTTTGCTTTGGTTGTGCATGAGCAACTGGTTTCTGAAACAGTAACTAAAAATCCATGGCAGCCTGCTATCTGGTGACCAGTGGATTTCTGGCCCTTTCCCTATCAAGCGCATACTTGGAGTCTAAAGTGTCTTCAGCGACAGGTTTTACAGCACAATGACTTCATCTGTAAGAGGCCCAGGGAGGGGGACATAGAGACAGTGACTCACAACTCAGAAGGTGGCTGGAGGCTAGTGGAAAGGCAAGTCTACAGGTGAGGATTAGTTACTACCAAGCTACAAACAGTGTCAGAAAGAAAAGAGAAGGAAAAGAAAAGAGCTTCCTGAGTTCTAAATAAACAAAAGAATTCTCTGCCTGCCAGAGGCTTAAAAATGTGAAGCATAATGACATTTCCTCTTTTGAAAAGGACCACACAGGGCACTCAAAGAGAAACACACCTCAAGATAAAAGCCAGACAGGATTAATTTGAACAAAGGGAATGGAATTTTCCTGCAACAGTCAGTATGCTTTAGAGTCTGACAAGATGTATCATTTCTATAGACATATATGGTCTGGAAAGATTTGGCATGCTTTTTCAATCTTTTTTATTTTAAAGAGAAAACAAATTTCAAAGCTAGATAATAGGAGGATAGCAATGGTTAATACATTGCATATTGTTATTTTTAAATTAGTTACTCAGAGTATAAGATATCGGCACTTAATTGTCCAGACAATATTAACACAAACTCTTTTCAATGAACTAAGAGAAATTCATAGGATAACTACCTTAACTATCTACCTATCTATGTACAATATTTATTTAATTTTTGCTCTCCCCTTCCTTCTTTTCTCCATTCCCTCATCCCATTTTCTCTTTCCTTTTGAAGTTTTTTCTCATCTGACAATAGGTATTGTGCATTTTGGATCCTATTTATTCTTTCAGCTTCTCACACTAGTGAGACAATATGATGTTTACATGTGTGTGCCTGGTTTGTTTCATTTATAAGTAGTCTTGAGTTGCATTTATTTATCTATAAAAGTCTCTGGTTTATTCTTTATGGCTGAGTAATACTCCATTGTATAAAAAGACTGCATCTTTTTAATCCATTCTTTGTTTAATGGGCATTTGGGTTGTTTCCAAGGATTTTCCAACTTTTATTGTAGGAAGCTGTATAGAAATGTCATGGCTGCCAAGTAGCTGGCATGAAGACAAAATGTTTAGTAGAGATTTGGGGGTTTTATATATGTTTCTACATATCACCCCTCTCTGATACACATACAAAATCAGTAAGTAACTAACTACAAACTGGAATCATATGTACAACATTATGAGACAAAGGGCCAAAACCTTTCATACAGTTATTATAAATCATTAAAAATGGAACTACCAGTTAAAAAGTAGAGTGTTTAACACAAAGCCAAAAAATATCAGGTCTAATAAAATAGAACTACATGTTTTTTAGTAACTGAAGAAAGGCAAATGTAAACAGCTAGATAATAGTTTTCTGTGACTATGGGAGGCACAACCAGAACCAAAGAGTGTGAATTCTAAGGAAGGAGACTGCGGCTCATTTTCAAGAAAACAGAAAAACCAACACGTAAGACCAGTTCTATCCCTGGGAAGGACAGAAATAAGTTCATTCCAGACCAAAAGGCTGACAAGGATTGAGTCTGCAATAGCATAAGACTAGCAGTTACCAAAGGAACCCAAAGACAAATTAGAATCACGCAATCCCAGGCCACAATTCTTCCTTCACTGGGAAAACTTTGGAAAGCAAAACAATAAAGAACCAGTTCTTTCATTATGGTCATTTCTTCCTCTTCCTCCTCCTACTTCAATGCAAAGAGGAATATATTTCATGTAACTGTTGCAAGTTTTTCTACAGAAGAGTTAAGGCAGATTTAAAGAACTGTATTTCCTGTCCTAAAGGGCAATATTAATAATATAGATTTCAAATTTCTAAGATCCCTTTATTAATTAGCTATATTTTAAATCTTGCCTGGAATATCAGGCATCCACTGTTGTTGGGAAACTTACCTTGAGCTTGGCAGCTGTCCACAATTAAATACACAGGCACCATGGGTATAGTGACCTACCATCAAAGCATGCAAAGGTCAGCTTTCAGAGAAGCCCTTCCTTCCAAATTCTGCAATGGGGATACATAATGGAAGGATGGTGCTTTAAATGCTTCCCAACAGTGAGTCTGCAACAACTATTGAAGAATGAGAGGATTCTCCAGGTGGTGTGAATGCAAGATAAGAGCGGAGAGGATGGCAGCACAGAGAGCACAGGCTGGCATGTCCTTTAGGATTTCAGACCCTGGGCTAGGAGAACATGAGACACTGCTGATGATTCACACCGTAAAACCTTTGTGGGAGATGCCACAGGGGATAGACTTTGTCTTATAGGTCATAAGGAGAATAAATGGGCAGTGTTTTTATCTCGGGAAGAGCCTCTAAAAGCGGAGCAGAGGACAGATTGGCAAGGCGCTACACTGAATCAGAGAGACCGGGTGAACAAGGCAGAAGCATGAAGAGTCAAAAAGGAGGCAGGCAGAGCTCTCTGACACAAGAGTCTCAAAGCCAGATATTTCCCGAAGGCACATAAAAATGAGTCACTATGTGCATCAAATGAAGGAGGTGGGCTAATATAGCCAAATTCACAGATAAAACTGGCTCATACTTGCGCTTCCCTCTTTACTGCTTGTGTAACTAACTTTGTGCAATTTCCATCTCATTTCTGAGCCTCACACTGATCATATGTTAAATCATCAACTATACTCCCACCCTATATAAGGTTGTTAGGTGAACAGATGAAAGAAGCCCTATGGTAGTGATTATAGGATGGACCCAATCAAAAGTCTAAGACATAGAATGATTTTAAAAAAAGATACACATATTTGATTACTTGCTTTTTGTTTCTAAAGATAGAAAGGTCTACAATTATTTCTGAGAGCCAGAAAGCATTTATTTAGCTCTTCTATTTTCAGAGCTAAAGGGAGGAATTTAGAAGGATTTGTATCAAATGCCAAACAAACTATCAGTTCGGTTCAGTTAACACCTGATGAATACCCATCAGCAGGGAGATTGGCTTGCACTAGAGATCTGGGTACTAGAGATCTGTGTCAGCTCTAAAGATTATCTAAGCATGCCTAGCACTTTCTGGGGCACGGGTGTCACAGAATGTTCTCTGACTTTAGTTTACAATGACCTGTAGGGAAGAGGAAGCTCACCCCAACCAAGCTGTCTAAATCCTGCACTCTAACTCCCATCATTGTACTTCCCAGGTTTCTCCTACATGTCCAGCAGTTTCTTGCCACCTCTTTGCTTTTGAGTAGTGTTCACTTTGTCAGGAATAACGTTCACACTCCTTCGAAACACCAATCCATGGCCTGTCCTATCTTTTTTTCCCCCTATGGTGCTGGCTCCACACATGGTAGGCAAGTGCTCCACCACTGAGCTCCTATGAGGAGAAGAGCCTTCCTTTATGGAATCTTTTCTTATATCAGAATCATCTGTTCAAGGCTTTCTTGTGGTTCATTATTACATTTTAATGAGGAAAACATTAGGCTCTAAATGTGAGGTTTGGTCTTTCGTTTTTACGGCAGCCAGTGCATAGCCTTTCATCTGCAGTATGTGGAAAAATAAAATCGACAGCCTCTCAGGCTTCGGTTCTCAGTGCTTGATCTTGAGAGCTGCTCTGTAAATGTTAGCTCAGTGTTAGCAGATGACTCAGTTTCTACAGATGTTTTCACATAATGGATATGAAAGGAAATCTCTCATGGGCCAGACTCCATGCTGGCAAAAAGGTGGAATGGTACAGCCCTTCCTACTGCTGTATACAATTAAAGTATGGCAAAAGAGGCACCAAAGATGTAGCTCAGGGGTAAGGCACATGGTTAGCATGTATGAGGCCTTGGGTTCAACCCCCAGCACAGAAAATCTGTATCAAAATAGAAAAAGATATGAATGCTAAGTGAGATGTAATGACAACACTTTATAGAAAAAAAAATAAAGATTTTTGTAATGGCATGAAGTCAAAAGTGCAAAATATTTTCAATTTAAAGCAATACGTAGCATTTCTTTTTAAAGCATTTTCCAGAACTCTGTTAATTACTATTATTTAAAAAAAAACTTATTTGATATAAATATAATGTTGAGTAAAATAAACAAGACACAGGCTTAAATACCATATGGTATCTTTCATTTGAGGAAGGCTAAGTACAGAGGTCAGAGACAAAGGAATAGGTCTCTAGCAGATAGGAAGGGGTTCCTAAGCCAAGGGCGGTGGGGGAGGGGGACTAAGGGGGAAGGGAAATAAACAGAATTAAGTTACACCATATACAAGAACCTAATAACCTCAATAGATGTAAACACTATATGCCACAGATATGAGCCGAGATTAATAATATCAATAAAAATTAAAATGGGGAAAGAGGAATTGGTGGGGGGGGGGGAGGAGAAGGAGACCTAAAAAGGAAGCAAACAGTATAATGTACCAGGACCCAAGGTGATTGTAAAATGCACTGCAAACATATACTAATTAAAAAATAATAAAAAAGAAAAAAAAGCATTAACTCCTCTGAGTCTTCGTTTCCCTGACTATAAAACTGAGATTTAATAGTCAATAATACCTTAAATTCTAAAGTATTTGCGATGACTAAATTTTAAAATGCTTATTTGTTGCTTGAATTATTGAGGATAATTATCAGCTTCCCTGAGGTGACATCGGACTGCTGTGTCACCAGTACTGCCTACAGTTTGTAATGCGTCTGGGGCCATGAGCAGAGCTGGAGTGGCTTGTGCAGGGACCACCGAGAACCATCTTCTCTTTGCCAGATGCACGATTTATTTAAATGGAATGAGCCCTCTCCTCCATACCTCCAGGAGATGTTACCACAGCCAGTGCTTTAGCTCTCATCCCATAGCTCAGCTTTCTCATGCACTGTGCAGCAAGGAGATACTTATCTGTCCAAACAGCATGCAAATAGAAATATGAAGCAGAGCTAAACATATGCAGCTACTGGTCTTTATTTCCTTTGGGGGTATTGAAGGACAGATGGGTAGGAAGGTAGCAGTAAAGATGGAGCAGATAGTTTCTTACATTTTGACTGATGATTACATTGACCCTCTATGTGGGAAAGCTATTTAACTCTACCATTTCTTCTTCTTTGTACAAATCCACCAAAATGATTGTTGAGTAAGTAATGAAAATAACTGAGTGTACTTTCTGTTAATTTCCTTTACAACAGTTTAGACACCAGTACCATGTAAAGACCCTACATGTTCCCAAACTATAAACTCGGCTGTTAGTGAATGTGTGTACAATTGGCACATAGTGAATCTTATTAAGAAGCTTCAGAATATTTTCTCCTTCAGAAAAAAGAATGTAGATGTGGCTTGATTCTGGGATCTAAGCCAGTGGGTAACAAGGTTGCTTTAAAATCATCTCTTGGATAACAATGAACCTATCAATCATCCACTCCAGGAAATTTAAGAAAAACACATGACCTAACACATTTGGCTGGGCCACCTGCGACCTGCCCTTCAAAGCACAATAAGCCATACCTGTGATCTGCTTTTTAGTCTCCAAGTCTCGGGTCTGCTTCAGCACTTGCAGTAGCCGGGGCACCCCGTTTAGTTCAGCGACCTCCAACTTGTTGTCGTTATCTTCAAACACCAGGTTTCTCAAGGCCCCACATGCAGCACGCTGGACATCTTCATTCTGAACTTTGAGCAACGTCAGAAGCTTGGGGAGGCCACGCAGCTGATAAACCTGAAGGAGAGGACGCAGATTTCCAATACTCATGAGTTTGACACAACATTCAACCTACTATGACCAGATGAAGTTTCCAGGTATTGAACGTGATACCCATCAGTCAAAAGCTCTATGTGGCACAATCAGAGACTAACCTTGCACATTACATGCTTGCTGTGAGGCAGTGCCTGTCATCAAGGAGCTTTAGGGAGAAGGTTGTAGGGGAAAAGGGTGGGGGAGTGATCGTCCTACAGGGAGAGTCAAGTGAGGAGAACCTCAGCATATCAAAAAAGATCGCTAGGGTCTGGGGAGTAAGGGAGACTTTCGGGAAGAACACCAAATTACACAACTGCTTTTTCCAGAACAAAACTTTATGAGCAATGTGTACTGAACAGAAATCACTTTCATCGATAGTAGAATAAAAATTCACTTATTATGGCAATCTTAGCAGCAGTGTGAGCTAATGCCAAATGCAGGTTATTTTTCTAATCAAAGTGGTTCCTATTGCAGCCTTTTGTTCTTTCTTTTTTTCCTTTTCTTTTTTTTTTTTTTTTTTTGGTTCTGCCTTTCCTCCAGCTTCTTGCACTTTTTATTTGGAAACAAGATCTTGCTAAGTCACTAAGTTGCCCGAGCTGGGCTTGAAGTGGCCATCCTCTTGCCGCCCTGGCTGCTGGATTACAGACATGTGCCATGGTTCCTAGCTGCAAGTCCTCAGGGAGTCAGTTAAGGCCACAGTGAACATCCCTTTCTGATGGAGCCCCACCTGTCAGCAGCCCGTGCTGGGGAGCGGCTATGCACCTGGCTCAATGGCCTACATCCATATTTTCCTTATATCCAGTTCTAGCGCTTCTCTCATAAAAGCATAAATGGCATTTAGAACAAAGCCTCCCCATCTTACATAAATATAACCCTTTGTCAGGTCTAGGGAAAAGACAAGCGAGGCAGGAACAAAAACAAGGTTGTGAAACGTTCGAAATGACAAAATAGTTTGCAAGATGATCCTTTAGGAGGAAAGTACTTTTAACAAATCTGAAACATAAAGCAATACAAATTGTACTTAAAAACCCATAGATATACATACATAATAAGCATATATATACTAATAGAGTATTGTGTGACCTTTCAGAGGAAAATACTCTTTTGATAGTTTTATGGCATCATTGCTACTAATAAGGAGAAGTCTACTTCTACTTATCAGCTTCCTTCACAGGAGACATGTGCAGGACTAGGGATGGAGACCGTCTATAACGAAAGCCGTTCTACATACATTAATGCTAATGGTAAAGATTACTTAGCTATCCATTAAACCCTGATCAATAGATCATCTATTTGACTGCCTCTTCTATTCTCATTATTTACATTTTTAAAAGCAAAAGAGCACAATTTATGTGAAAACCACTTATAATTTACATGTCTCTCTAATCTTTCCATTTTATTTCACAGTAGTTAAAGTAAGCTAAATTCATACTTCACCAACTTCATGAATGCCTGCCTGACCCAAGCTACAACTTATAGGCTGCCTTCTTCAAAATACGACGTGAGTGGCTGAGTGGCTCTAGTGCCCTGGGGATTAGTGAGGCATGGCGTGCAGAAGCCCTGTGGCTTGGTGGGGTTCCTACACCCTTTCTCCTCTCTCTTCTTGGATTTCAGCACTACCTTCAGCCTGGAGAGAAGGCACCTGGGACTCATGGTGCTCAGATAAACGCTGACACCCCTTAACCCCCTTATGGATTTACCTACTGTGGAAGTATCTCACTCCTGAGTGTCTTATCCCAGGTTTAAAAAACAGCTTTAAAAACAGTTTAAAAAACTTATCCCAGGTTTAAAAAACAGCTTTAGGTTGCATTTATGCAAATAGATACATATCACACTAAATGTAAATTGGGGGCACTTTCCTTCTTGGTATTAACTAGAGGCTTGGGAGATGATGGATCCTGAACACATTGGGATCCAGACACGCAGCTGTGGCCGGAGACATTTGCCAAGTTTCCTAGTTAGAGTGAACCCTCTGAGGGTTTTCCCCACTTTGAGGAAATGAACAAACAAATGAAAGACTAATATAAATGTTACAGAACTCCAAAAAGGCATCCATTTCTAAATTTATGAAAGGGCAGAGTCGCCTATCAGAATTTTAACTTGATCCTCCTCCTGCCAAGCAGATGACCAGTCAAAGACGGGCTTTCAGGAGGCAGTAAGCACAAGAGGGGTTGGCCTGCAGCCCCACAGGCCTCTCTGCTCATTGTCCCCCGCTGCCCATCCTTCCCACCCCACTTTTCTCCTGGCAAAGCCCTACTCATCCTGTAAGATCCAGCTCAAATGTCACCATCATGAAATGCCACTCCCTTCCTCTCCTTTCCCTCCCATTAGAATTAATCACTCCTCGTAAATTGGTCTAACCTTTCAGGAAGGCAGTTGGCAATGTATGTCAAAAACCTGTAAAGTACTCACTCCTAGGAACTTTCATCCGGAAAATATTTGAAGAGTAGACATAGACGAGTATACAAAAACAGTAACTGCATTATTTGTAAAAATGAGAAATGGCTAACAGAGAAGATTGGTTGACAGCTGACACAGAGCTGTATGTCACAGCCTCCATGGGGGATGCAGGGCAGGGTTGGAGCTGATGGATGCTTTCTGACACACGGGAACCACATAGGTTTGTAGTTGTGTGCTGCACACAGTGGTGTCCCAATGCATGGCAGCTACTACTGATATCACTAAACTGTCACTGTGAAACTGAGGTTTATATAATGTTAATGGATAATGTTATGGGATAATGATGACGCTATTTTAAAAAGGGAATAAAAGATATTTGCATTTCTACTTGTAAACATGGGCATAAAGAAATGAGATGGGAGATTTGGAGGAAGTGACGAAGGTATGTCACGAACGGGACCTGCTATTATAAATAAGCACGGGATGCATTCATTCATGCTTTAAGAATTATCTATAGGGGCTAGGGATTTAGCTCAGCGGCATAAGTGCCTGCCTTGCAAGCAGGCAGTCGTGAGTTCGATCCCTGGTACTGATTAAAAAAAAAAAAAAAAGAATTAACTGTAATAATCTTTGTTTTTGTTGTTGTTTCTGGCCTTTAACTCTGGATACTCCCAAGTGCTGGGATTACAGGTATGTGCAATACACCTGAATTAAAATTTTTTAAAAATTCCCTCCCAAATCACAACAAACAAAGCTACAAATTCAACTTGATTAAGGATGTGTAAATAGATGAATTAAAAATTAGAGGATAAAACAATGACAGTGGTGGGACTGTAGGTCTGCTTCTTTTTCCTTTTGTACTTTAATTTCTCCAACTAGTCTTATAGTAAGCATTTACTAAACATATATGGCAGTTGCTATACTTCTGTTCTAAAACCAGAAGCAGATATGGAAACAAAACTAGTTTTAAAAGGGTCTTACAGACTGAAGAGATCTGCCTTTTACCTTGTAAGTTACTGGAAAGGTCTCCTTGGTGCTGGAAGGAGACCGGGTAGGGGATGGGTAAGCAGAGAGACAGGGATATGCATGAGGAGGCACTGGATTAACAGATGACAGTGACAAGGAGGGAACAGCAGTGCAGAAGAGGGAACAAATATATGTGCATATTTGAGACATTTCCAGGAGCGTCTTTAACAGGACTTGGAGTATGACAGTAACCAAAGCTGAAGGTTCAAAGACTGTTCACATTCTAGTGTCAGACTACCTGAATGAACTACCATTTATAGAAAAAGCAAATACGGTTGGAACATCTCTAACCCAAAATACAGAATTTGTTGTTTTTTTTTTTTTTTTGTCTTTTTTCGTTTTTACCGGTACCAGGGATTGAACTCACAACTGCCTGCTTGCAAAGCAGGCGCTTATGCCACTGAGCTAAATCCCCAGCCCCCAAAATACAGAATTTGAAACACTCCAAAGTACAACATGTTCTCAGCACTGACATGATGCCACAAGTAGAAAATTCCATACTGCAATGCTTTGTTTCATGTTCAAAAAATTTGTATAAATTACCTTGAGGCTATGAATATCAGGTGTATATGAAACATAAATGAACTTTGTGCTTAGAGTCAGGTCACAATCCCAATATACCTTGTTATCTATAAGTACATGGTCCAAAATCTGAAAAAAATCCCAACTTTAAAAAACCTCTGCTGCTGAGTATTTTGGATAGGAGATATTCAACCTTTAATACATTCTGAGTCATTATTTCTGGTAGATGACACACCATTCTCTGACTGTATTCTCTTGATGACTCTTTGTAGTGGTACAATTATTCCCATTTTACAGCTAAGAAAGCTGAGGCTTGGAGAGGTAGACTATCTTGCCCGAGGTCACCCAAGGTAATTATGTTGTGGGCTTCAAACTTACCTCTGAGAGACTCCTGAAAGTCTGTGCTCAGACTACTAGCAATCTCACCTTACAACTCAGCAAGAACAAGTTTAGGGCGGATGGACAATAGAGCAAAAAGCAATAAGGTAATATGTCCATTCAGATGAAGTGACGTTGAGCCTAGTGGTAATGTCCAGGAATTGGTGGGCACGTGATGTGGACCCCGGGGAAGAGATATCAGCTGGAAACCATGAGTTATTAGTAACTAGGTCACAGAGGAAGCCAGAGGAGGGCATAGGTCAGGAGGTGGGCCCAGGAGGACATCAAAGGAGCAGGAGTAGCTGAGGTACAGGCAGAAGATAAGGTGGCCCACAGAGGCATCTTGGAGGAGCCAGAGAGAGGGAAAAACAACCCAGGAGATTGTGAGACAATGGGACATGCTTTAGAAAGGAGAAAGGGGGCCGGGGGTGTAGCTCAGAGGCATAAGGGCCTGCAAACCAGGAAGGAGAAAGGAGGCCAAACGCTCAGTACTACTCAGGTATAATAAGGACTGAAAAGTTGCCACTGGTTTTTAAATTGTTATGGTTTAAAATTTTTGCTGTATGTACAAATTACAAATGTCTTTCATACATAAATTGAAAACTGTATCATCAGGCTTAATATTAGCAACATTTGTCAGTGGTCTTGGGTTATAA